TGTGTGCGCGCGCGCGTGTGTGTCAGTACGTTTCCTTTCTTTCTCGTTTTCTCTCTCCCTCGCCTTCTCTCTTTCTTGCTACGTGTTTGTCGCTCTCTCTTTCATTCTCCAGTTCTCAGTTTCTCGCCATTTTTTCTATTCTCGTCTTTTTCATGTTGTTAGTATCTGTATATATCACCCTCGCTCGCGCGCTTTTACTCTCTCACTCTCAAGTTAATTACTGCATCTAAGCGCAAAAAAAAACATAAAATATTTAATTTAGAAATAATGATCAAGAATGCAGACAGTACTGCTCTGATCGAACGAAAAATCGTATAGCTACGCTATTAGTATTTCATATAGGCGCGCGCTGGCGTTCCAACACGTATAGCGTCTCATGTGGCTTATTTATGGGTACAAACGGTACTTGTACTGAAAACAGACGGGATGGCTGGTTGTCAAATCCAACCTGACCGAACCTAACCCAATTATAAGGCGAATCCTTTCTGTTTATGAAAACGTTACTAGTCTAACGAAGGAGACAATCCACAGAGCTTACTAAATCCGTCACTGGTACATGTCTACGTCTCTCTGCTCTCTCTCTCTCTCTCTCTCTCTCTCTCTCTCTAAATAAATAAATAAACATATATGTATATAAATCCCTCTCTCTTTCTCTCCCTCTCTCTCTCTCGCTCTCTCTCTCTCTCTCTCTCTCTCTCTATTTCTATCTCCTTCTCTCTGGCACCCTCTCTCTGTCTCCCTCCTCTCTCCCTCTCTCTTTATCTCGCGCGCGCGCTCTCTCCTCCCCCTCTCTCTCTCTATCCCTGTACCTCTCTCTCTCCCTCCCCCTCTCTCTCCCCATCTCTATCTCTTTCTCTTTCTCTCTCCCCATCTCTCCATCTCTATCTCTCTCTCTATCCCTTCCCCTCTCTCCCTGTCTCTATCTTTCTCTCTCTCTCCCCCCTCTCTTCCTATCTCTATCTCCCTCTCCCCACCAGCCGACCACGCGCTCGCACGCACAGGTGTACAAAACCCTTGCAGGCACCGCGCGCTCGCGGGGGCAGTATACGCGGACAGACACACATCGTGGGGCTTTGTCCAGTAATGGTCCTCACACTCACCTAGGCACGCTCTGATTGCAATCACTGCATACATAACAGTACACGCGTGCCCGTGGAGAGCAGGTGGCGCGTCCGGAGAGGGAATGGTGACGAGAGGAGACTGACGGGACGTCTAGCAGAGGCGGGACAACACACGCCATTATGCCACCGCGTAACACTGTCTTCATAACTCTGTTACTGTATTATTTGATTGTTAGTGACGTCCATGTTACTATAGAAGCGAGAATTCATACCTGTGTGCGTTACACGGTGACTCTATTACGTCATCGAGGTAATATGCAAAACTACGCTGAGATTACAGGAACGTACGCACACACACACACACACGCACACACGCACGCACGCACACACACACACACACACACATACACATACACATACACATACACATACACAT